CCTCCCGCCTCAGCCTCCCAGAGTGCTAGGATTACAGGCATGAGCCACCACGCCTGGCCCTCATTTATTTTTTTAAAGACGAGATCTCACTGTGTTGTCCAGGTTGGAGTCCAGTGACTAATCACAGGTGCAATTATAGTACATTACAGCCTTGAGCTCCTGGGCTCAAGTGATTTTCCTGCCTCAGCCTCCCCAGTAGCTGGGACTACAGGCGTGTGCCATGGCACCACAGTTTTTAAGAGATGCGTGCTATCTCTTCAGAGTGACAAAGCAAGAGTTATTTAGTCCTATATTGCACGTTCGTCTTTCATTTTTAAGATTACAGGATTATTTAAGATTATGGGATTATTACATCAAAGGGTATGTATATTTTGATGGCTCCTGATAGAGGTTGCTAAAGTGCTTTCTAAAAGGACTATAACTGCATAAATTATTAATATAAAAATAGAACTGGCTATTTTAGCTTTATTTTATCTCTTTCATACTGTCTCTCTTTTGGTGAATATCTTCATGAACACTGAGATGACCTGAAGCTCTTATTTCTCCTTCATTCTCATCAACTTTTTCTTGCCACTTTATTTGTTTATTCAATCAGTCAGGAATATTCATTAAGCAGATTATTACTTTCAGGACACTGTGCTCGATTACCAATGTTATAAAGATAAACAAAATGAAAAACCTACAATATAGTTAGGAAGACTATAAAGTGATACCATTTCCAAAACAAAAAAAAACAAAAAACCCAAAAAAACTGAAGTTATGGGTTTAGTTGGAGAGGTGTGAGTTCTGGAGTCAGAGAACACTGGGTTTATATCCCAGCTTTGCTTCCTGTTATCTGGGTGAATGTAGCTTGGGTCCTTTATAATCTCTCTTGGTCTGAGTCTCCTGGTCTGTAAAATGGATGTAATACCTTGCTGAGTCATGTAGAGGCTTGGCATTCAGGTACCTGATGCCTGGCTGGTGTTTAGTGTACAGTGACAGTTATTACTCTAAAATAGCAGAGGATGTTAATATTAACATTAGAGTAGCAGGCTAAACAGGGCACTAAGGAGGTGTGAGAGAGGGAAGGGCTGACTCAGCTGGAGGAGATGGGAAGGATTCCTGGAGGCGAAGCTATCTGGACTTCATCTGGAAGGACTCAAGTCCTGGATAGATTTTCTGGGGAGAAGAGACTAAAACGTTGTTTGCTCTAAAATGGCATTTGGCAGCAATTTTCTCTATTTCAGCTGGACCATGTACATTAGTACATAATGCCTCACATTTATAGTGCCTCCCTACTTTTCAAAGCAGGAATTTCATATCCATTATTTTCATCACAGCAGCTCTGAAAATTAGCAGGGCAGAGATTAGTTCCATTTGCTGATAAACTGGGTCCCAAATCCAGGCCTTTATACTTCCAACCCAGCTCTTTCCACTGCCCCATCCTGTTGGCAATGTACTCCTTTTTTATTTTTTATTTTTTATCCTCTGACTGTAATTTCAAGTGACCTATCTTCAAGTTCAGACATGCATTCTTCTGTATGATCAAGTCTGCTGTTAAAGCTCTGTTGTATTTGTTATGTTATTCATCAAATCCTTCAACTGCAGGATTTATTTGCTTCTTTTTTATGATTTCTATCTCTTTGTTGAATTTCTTGTTCATTTCATGAATTATTTTCCTGATTTGTTGAATTTTCTATCTATATTTTCTTGTGTCTTTCTGAGTTTCCTTAAGATCATTATTTTGAATTTCTTTTCTGGCAATTTGTTGATTTCCTTTTCAATAGGGTCTGTTACTAGAGAGTTATGATATTCCTTTGGAGGTGTCATATTTCTTTGATTTTTCATGTTACTTTTGTCCCTGCAATGATGTCTGTGTATCTGGTGGGATGATTTCCTCTTCCAAACTTTCTAGAGTGCCTTTCATAGGAAAACACTTTCACTTGCAGTTGGGTTTTAGTGTGCTGGTTAGCAAGGGTGTGGTGACTCTCTTTCTGGATAGGCGCAGTGGAATAATCTTTATGCAGCTTCTTCAGCTGCATTTAACATCAGCGATAACTGTGAGCACCTCAGTGGCATAGGCTATAGAAGTTTGTGGCAGCATAGATTGTCAATGTCCTTGGTGTCAAGGGCTTTGGGGGTTCTCCTATTCTCATTTTCCCCACAATGGAGAGACTTAGCCAAAGAGATCCCACTTGGTGTCAGGGCTGACATAGCCTACAAGCAGCTGCAATGGTGCTGGGTTCCAGATGCAGGTGCTTGGACTGGCTGTTGGGTCAGGGTTGTAGTGCCAGGGTCTTGCAAACCTATTGTAGCACCTGGGTCTTGGGGTACAGGTTTGCTCTCTGTGGTTGAGTTGGATGTAGGTTGTCCATTGAGCCCGCATCTGTGACTCTGAGGCACTCCCTAGCAACTTGGGCACAAGGGGCCAGGTTGTAAATGTGAGTCTACCCATGGTGGGCAGGGAACAGCACTGGCCTCCTTTCTTTTTTACTTAGCTTAGCCTGGGACTAAGTCTGTGTGGCTCCAGCACCTGTGCTCTGTCCTCTCTAAAAGGCTGCTTTTGGGAGCAAAGTTAGTGCTGGCCAATAGCTTGGGCAGCTGTGTCCAGCTGGAATGGATGTATAACCAAGATGAGGTAGAGGGATGGGGCCACAGTCTGTGCTGGGGATTTCTGTGACTTTATAAATCCTGACCCTAAGAGCCAAGAGCCTCCAACAACATTCTATTCCTAGACATGTAGTCTGAGCTCCCAGAATCCATTGCCCTCGCTGGTGCACTCAGGAGAACAAGTCCCTTCTTGTGGCAGTCCCCATGTGATAAGTATCCATGAGGGGTTGCTTTCCCATGCATTATTGATATCTTGTCTGGAAGGACCCCTGAGCATCCCTATCTACCCCTCAGAGACTGTAACTTAGCTAACATTGCTGCTTTCTCCTCCTCCCTCCCTCTGTCTTGGTGGTGTCAGTGCAGCAGCTGCTGGAAGATGGCGCGGATCCCTGTGCAGCTGACGACAAGGGCCGCACAGCTCTACATTTTGCCTCTTGCAATGGCAATGACCTGATTGGTGAGTTCTGGGCAGAGGAGGGAGCAGGGCCAGGCAAGTAGCATCTCTCCACAGCTGCTGTCTGCATAGCCTTGGGATGCCCAGTTGTACTGGATATAAGGAAGACGTGGCACCACAGTGCCCTGCTTTTCTCTCTCCCTTAGCCTGTGGAGCTGGCACTGCCAGCCCAGGGAAGGGATACACCTGGGGAAAGAATATGATTGACTCTAAGGGTGAAGGGAGGTGTCCAATTAGGAGACTGCTGGAGGAGAGAGAGGGCCCAGGCCTTGGAGACATTCAGGGAACATTTACTCAGTGCTGGCCACATCAGCAGTGCTGGTTTTTTCTAGGAGTCTTTTTTTAAAATTGTGGTATAGCTTGCAAATAGTGAACTATGTATGTATATACACTGGTATAATGACTACCAGATCAAGATATAGGATATTTTCAGCACCCCATAACCCTCATCCCTTCCCAGTCCTTACTCCCATCTGGACCTTGTTCACGATGGACTAGTTTTGCCTGTTTTTGAATTTCACATAAATGGAAGCATAAATTTGTGCATACTCTTTCACTCAAAATTATATCCACGAGATTCATCCGTGAATGTTGTGTGTATCATGCAGTCATCCCTTGGTATCCCAGGGGGATTGGTTCCAGGACCCCACTTGAATAGCTAACTCATGAATACTCAGGTCCCCTAAAGTAAGCCCTCCATATCTTTGGGTTCTGAGTCTAGGGCTGACTGAATCTGTGGATGTGGAAACCGCAGATGGGTGGAGGAGGGAAGATTGTAGTTTGTTCTTTCTTCTGCCAGTTAGTATTTCATTGTGATATACCCCAGTTTACCCATTCTACTGTTGATGGACATTTGTGTTGTTTCCAGGTTTTAGCTATTATTAGTAAAACTGCTGTGAATATCCTCATATGTGTGCTTTAGTGGCTATAAGCACTCATCTACGTGGAGTGTAAACCTAGCAGTGGATTGTTGGGTCACTAGGATAGGCATATATTTAGCTGTAATAGGTACTACCAAACCATTTCCCAAAATGGATATACTGATATTCACTCCTACTCCTGCCAGCAATGTAAGAGAGTTCTACATTTTGCCACATCCTTTCCAATGCTTGGCATTGTTTCTTTTTAATTTTAGCAATTCAGATATAGTGATATCTCATTGTGGTTTAATTTGCATTTCTCTGATGGCCAGTGATGTTGAGCACCTCTTCATGTGTTTATTGGCCATTTGGGTTTGTTTTTTTTTTTTTTTTTTTGAGACAGTGTCTTGCTCTGTAGCCCAGACTGGAGTGCAGTGGCATTATCATAGCTCACTGCAACCTCAAACATCTGGGCTCAAGTGATACTCCTACCTCAGCCTCCTGAGTAGCTGGGACTACAGGTGCATGCCACCACGCCTAGCCAACTTTTCCATTTTTTTGCAGAGACAGGGTCTCCTTATGTTGCTCAGGCTGATCTTGAATTCCTGGTCTCAAGGATCCTCCCGCCTCAGCCTCCCAGAGTGCTAGGATTACAAGTGTCAGCCACCATGCCCGGCTGACAAACACAAGCTCTTAATTTTAATAAATCCAATTCATCAATATTTTTTATGGTTGTATTTTTATGACTTATTTAAGAAATCTTTGCCTATCCTAGGTTCATTTTTTTCTAGAAGCCTAACTGTTTTAGTTTTCCCATTTAGGTCCATGATCCCTCTCAAATTAGTTTTTGTATATGGTGTGAGACTCAGTCTGACGTCCCTGAATTATGTGCTGGACCCAGGTTACCTGCCTGCACATCCATCTGGGTAATTGGTAAACCCTGGTGATACCACAGCCCACCCCTGAGGTGGCCTAGAGACTGTCCTTAAGGAGGGAGACAGTCTCTGTCATGGAGCTCAGCATCATCTATTGGCCTAATTCCTGCTATAGCACTTGTCTGTGGGAAGAGCAGAAAATGCCTGGAGAGCCTTCACTAGCAGCTACTGCTGCTGGAAGAACTTTCCTTAACTCTTAAAATCCCAGTCCCACAACACCCGCATAGGCCAAGATGTCCTCCTGGATTCCTCAGCTCCTGGCCCTCAGAGTCCTGCACATGAATTTGAGTGAGTGAGTGGGCGAATTCAGTGAATGGAACAACATAGGGGACCATGTTTGCATTCTGTGTTCTACACTTCGAGTGGGCTTCTCTAGCTTGGTTATGGGTACGTGGTCGAGTCGATGGGAGCCTCTGACAATTTTTCTCCGGTTTTTTTATTTCCAGTGCAGCTGCTTCTGGACCACGGGGCTGATCCCAACCAGCGAGATGGTCTGGGAAATACACCACTGCACCTGGGTAAGTGCCTCAAAAATCACCAAGGCAACTTTTCTGCAGCATAGCCAGGCCCTTAGATGGAGAGCCTGGGGTCCTGTAGGCTCCCAGCAGTATGTCCCAGTGTTTGAGGAGATCTTGAACCCCCAGGGCTACACTCTCCACCCATCTGTGTCCCATGGACTTTACAGTCACTCAGCAGTTGTCTGTGCCCTTGGCAGACTGTTTAGCAAGCTAGACTGGCTCAGCGGCACCGCTGCTAGGGGAGGTATGATAATGAGACCTTTGACAGGTTCCAACTCTGCCACTGACTCACACCATGGCTTGTAGTGAGACAGGTCCCATCTCTAGGCCTCAGTTTACCCAACTGTACAGGGAGGGTGTTGGGCTTGATTGCTGACTCCTGTCCAGGTACTGCCTTGGTGATACCTTTTCAGGAGGCATAACTTGGCACAGGCACACTTGAACACACAGCCCTGCTCCCCCAGTGGCCACACAGAGCCAGGCCTAATGGCCCTGGATTCTTAAGTCTCTGTTCTTCTTCCTCAGCGGCCTGCACTAACCACGTCCCTGTCATCACCACACTGCTACGAGGAGGTATGTGGTCCCTTCCCCACCTCCCTCCTCTCTCTCACCCTCATCCCCAGCATGCTCACCTCTGCCTGTACCCACAGGAGCCCGTGTAGATGCCCTGGACCGAGCTGGCCGCACGCCTCTGCACCTGGCCAAGTCCAAACTGAACATACTGCAGGAGGGCCACTCCCAGTGCCTGGAGGCTGTGCAACTAGAGGTGAAGCAGGTGAGTAGCCCTTTTAGGCTAAGCTCATGGCACTAAGCAAGCACTGGACAGAGCAGCCCTGACCACAGACATACCTGCCTTTAGCCCCAGGACTCTTGGGTTATTTCACACCGACCCCAGTTGGCACCTACTCCACTGTGCCCCACCCCTTTTTTTTTAAAGAGACCATATCTCACTCTGTCACCGAAGCTGGAGTGCAGTGTCGTGATCACAGCCGTAGCCTCAAACTCCTGGGCTCAAGTGATCCTCCCACCTCAGCCTCCTGAGTAGCTGGGACTACACATGCACAAACCATGTCCAGCTAATTTTTAAAAATTTTTTGTAGAGACGGGGTCTCACTATGTTGTCCAGGCTGGTCTTGAACCCCTAACCTCAAGTGATCCTCCCGCTTTGGCCTCCCAAAGTGCTTGGATTACTGGCATGAGCCACCACGCCTGGCCCAATGTGCCTCTTGGCAGCAGCATCAGGCCTCTCTGTGCTTCCTAGCTGAAACCCACACAGCTCAGCTGATCCTGTTGTTCCAGATCATCCATATGCTGAGGGAGTACCTGGAGCGCCTCGGGCGGCACGAACAGAAGGAACGGCTGGATGACCTCTGCACCCGCCTCCAGATGACAAGCACCAAAGAGCAGGTGAGCTGCAGTCAGAGGTGAGACCCAGGGCCTGGCAGGAGCCTCAGGGCCAATCCATCTCTGCTCGATGAAGCCAGACATTTGTATTAGAAGGAGGTTGGGACTGTGGGTTGCAGCCCATTGTGGCCCTCGATACCTCTGTCTACTTCCTTTGAAGCTGCCAATGGCTAGCATGTGCTCATGGCCCTGCCCTCTGGGGCAGCCCAAGACTACCTGGTGTCAAGGATTAACCCTTGGTCAGCTGTTCCATCGTCAGAGAGAAGCCACCACCTGCCCTGGGAGAAGAGACAATGCCTGTGTTTTATGCCTGTAGTATTGGGGAGGAGATCTCGGGGCCCTGGCACCCTGTAACAGAGCCTCGGTTTCATCCTACAGGTGGATGAAGTGACCGACCTCCTGGCCAGCTTCACCTCCCTCAGTTTGCAGATGCAGAGCATGGAGAAGAGGTAGCAAGAGAGGCTCCCTGCCTTCCTGCTCTGCCACCGCCACCCTGCCCCCACTGCTGTCTCATTACAAGGAGAAAACCCAATGTCTGGGACTTTGGAGCTATACTTGTCTGGTGAGGACCTTACCCTCATTCTCAGATGGTGTGGGACAAAGATGTTCTCCCCACAACCTCAGAGCCACTGCCAACCACAATCTCCATCATCTCTGGGCTGGGACCATAGCCCCCAGCTTCTTCCTCCAGTTCCTGCAGCACTAGGCCAGCTTCTGCAGCCACACTTCAGCTCCGGCTGACCTGCACTGTCCTAGCAGGCCTCACCTGCCCTATGGCCTCCATGACACCCTCCCTGGGACCCAGACCCTTCTCTGTATTCCTTCCTGGTCATGGGCTTGTTGCAGTCAGCAGATGTGGGCTTAGGCAGGCAACCTCTGGCCAAGGGGACTGCCATGGGGGCCTCATGGCTGGCCCTGTACCTCTCACCAGCACTTAGATTTAGACTTGTCACCAGACTTTCAAGGAGACACTGCAGCGGGTTTCTCTGGTTGTAAGGAGAGGGTTGGTAAAGCCCAGACCTTAAAAATGCAAGTACCCCAAAGCAAAAAACCCCAACCCTTTTTCTCCCAATCATTGAAACCCCAGGAGGGTGTAATAGGTGTGCAGCCTAGTGTAGTAGGCTGTTAGTGCCCCCAGATGTCCACGGCCCAACCCCAGGAACCTGTGAACATTACCTTATATGGCAAAAGGGGCTTTGCAGATGGGATTACACTAAGGATCTTTGGCCAGGGAGCGGATCCTGGATTACCCGGGTGGGCCCGAGGTATCCCAGGGATTCTTACAAGAGCGCAGCAGGAGCTGAGAGAGGAAGTGGGAGAGACAGTGATGGAAGCAAGCAGTTGGAATAAGTCCAGGAGGGGTCACAAGCCAAGGAATACAGGCTGCCTCCAGAAGCAAGGAAGCGGATTTTCCCCTCAGAACTTCCAGAAGGAACCAGCTCTGCTGACACCTTCACTTTAGCTCAATGAGACTGATTTTAGAATTCAGGCCTCCAAAACTACAAGGGAATAAATTTGTGTTGTTTTAAGCCACGAAGTTTGCAGTATTTGTTGCAGCAAAAATGGGAAACTAACGTGATAGTGAAGGTTCAAAACTCACCGAAAGGAAGGTTTTCCAGCCTATCCATAGTGCCCCACCCCAGCCCGCAGGAGCAGACATCTCTGTTGTGGGCAGGGACACGCAAAAGGAGGCACCCCCTCATAGTAGGGCCTGCCACGAGGGGCCACCCAAGGGAAGGCACTGCCGGCCTCTGACTACAGGTTTTTTCCAGGTGATCAGTCCACGTCCAATCTGGCTCTGTCCCACTTTCCCTCTCACCAAATTGGAATCCCTGGCTACTTTTCAGAGGAGGAGAGCTTGTCCCCAAATTCCATGTTAATATGGTTCAGATCTGCATTGAACTCATGGAAGCCGGCCACTCCTCAGACCCTGGGGGACAAACGGGTCTCTGTGTGGGTCTGACATACCGGACCTTCCAGCACTCTGTAAGAGGGGAAGCCCAGTGCCCCACCAGGTCGGCAGGGCTGGGGAAGGGAAAGTGTTGTGGTAGCCTCAAGACTAAAGAGAAGAGGCCGGGGCGCAGTGGCTCACGCCTGTAATCCTAGCACTCTGGGAGGCCGAGGCGGGTGGATTGTTTGAGCTCAGGAGTTCGAGAACAGCCTGAGCAAGAGTGAGACCCCGTCTCTACTAAAAAAAATAGACAGAAATTATCTGGACAACTAAAAATATATAGAAAAAATTAGCCAGGCATGGTGGCACATGCCTGTAGTCCCAGCTACTCAGGAGGCTGAGGCAGTAGGATCACTTAAGCCCAGGAGTTTGAGGTTGCTGTGAGCTAGGCTGACGCCACGGCACTCACTCTAGCCAGGGCAACAGAGTGAGACTGTGTCTCAAAAAAAAAAAAAAAAAGACTAACAAGAAGGCTGGGTGTGGTGGCTCACGCCTATAATCCTAGCATTTTGGAGGCCAAGGCAGGAGGATTGCTTCTGAGACCAGGAGTTCAAGACCAGCCTGAACAAGAGCGAGACCCTGTCTCTACAAAAAATAGAAAAATTAGCCAAGCATGGTGGTGCACGCCTGTAGTCCCAACTACTGGGGAGGCTGAGGCAGGAGGATCACTGGAACCCAGGAGTCTAAGGTTGCAGTGAGCTATGATGATACCACTACACTCTAGCCTCTAGCCCAGGTGACAGAACGAGACCCTGTCTCAAAAAAAGAAAGACAAGAGAGAGGGCAGAGGGAGCAGGAGAGTACTCCCATGGAACTCAGGCACTGCCCAAGTGAGGTGAGGAGGGACGGAGGTGCTGTTCATGGGGTGACTTTTCTCCCTGGGGGTGGGACAGGGCAGGGAGAAGCTGGGGCAGGAGGAAGGAGGCCTCGAACTCAGGGATGCCCTTTCTCCTGGGACGTGCTATCTTGGGTCCCCCTACTTCAGCCCCAGGCTGACCACCCAGTAGAGAGTTGTAGCGGGGTTTCTCAGCCTTAGGCCCAGGGGGTTCAATTAGTGGGCCCCCTGAAATGATGCAAGGTTTTATGTGGAGAATGCACGTGTTTCTGGGAAAAGGGTCCAAGCTTAAAAAAGGTTAGGAACTTGCTATAGAGCCGTGGGAGCAGGTAGGTAAGGGCCTGCCAAGGGCATCCTGGGGACTGCTTCGGCCCTCCTGGGCCCCACTATCCCCTAGGCAGGATGCTTTGTATTTGCAGAGCTGAGGGGGTGGGGTGGGCTGGGACTGAAATTGCTCTGAGATGACTGGGAGTGTTTCCAGGACAACCTGACACAGGGACCGACTAGCTAACTCTTCACAGTCCTTGGCTGTGGGGTGCGTCTCCTGCAGCACACTCCATCCTTGGAGCCCTGGAGCCATGAGAACTGGCCGCTGGGGCAAGTGAAAGGGGGTATTGTTGACTCTTCCGTGGCCATATATAGATGGTGATTGAAGGGCTTGACAAACGAAAGTGGCTTACAGGTCAGTCATCAAACACTTGCCAGACAGCCAGGCAACCAGCCAATCTGCCTTGCCCCATTTCCAGCCAGGATATTTCCTATAACCCCAAATGTGTCTGAAGAGCCAGCCAGATAAAGTCGGCCCAGACATTGGAGTGAGTCAGAAAACATCCAGTGGGCCCTGAGCTGGCTGGACTGGCCGGGGTGGGGCAGGAAAGAGCACTCAGCAGAGGTTGCCCTCACAGGGGTGAGTTCTGCTGCTGGCTGCTCCGGGAGTTACTGACGCAGGGGAGGTGAGAAGGAGAGGAGGGGCAGGGGGGACGGGGTAGGAGGTGAGAGGAAGAAAAAACTCACACTTGTTCTTCTGGCTTAAGATCCTTTGCTTTACACCTCACATTTCCTTCATGTCAGAAATATTTACTGAGCACTTACTGTGCGCCAGGCAATGTTCTAGGTGGAAGAACAGCAGCGAACAAAAGAACCAACTCCCTGCCCTTGCCCACCTGGCAAACAGTGGTAAGTGCTCAGAAATATTTGCAGGTTGTCACAACCATCCTGCAAGATGCCTTTTGTAGCTAAGGAGACACAGGTTTGCCAGGATCATCCAACCAGGAAGCGGGGGCTGAAACCTGGGTCCACCCCCAAAGCTCATTCTGTTTCTACCATGCCTGAAATGAGAGCCTTCTCACAACAGTTCCCTAAAACAGAGGGCAACAGCATTTGTTGAGCTTCTACTATGTGCCAGCAGGGACTTTATGCCAGCCCTTTGAGTTAGTGTTTGTGATAAAGAATTAAGTAGTCAAGTCATTTATTGCTCCGCCTATTTTATAGATGCAGGAAGTTGAGGCTGAGAGAGAGAAAGTAACTTGCTTGAGGTCAGACAGCTGGTAAGTGGGGCCCAGCCCATTCTCTCTGCCAGGTTTCCAACGCACAATGTCGCCTGGGACACAGTTGGTAGAACCGATGGACCTTACCAAGTGAATGCCTCTGTCTGTGTGGCCAGTAGGTATTCTCAGGCTCAGGAGCTGGGAAGATCTGGCCCTTTCCTCACTGAACACATGATACTGTGTGCTCAGTGGACAAGACATGCACTTGATCACCAGGGGAAAGCGGGAGGACAATGTGAGAGGCTGGGCTGACCAGGGTGTGGAGTGGTCCTTGCGGATCTTGGTGGGTGGGTGGAGGGAGCAGCATGAACTGGGGCTGGAGGACAGGCAGGAGCTGGCTGTGGGCCCAGGAGGGTGTGAGGCTGGCCAGAGAGGGAGGCTGGACAGGTGAGGAGGTCCTGGGGTCTGAAGATTTGCCTTGGCAGGCAAAAACCAGGTAAGGCAGATGGTCACCTCTACCCTGGGGGCCAAATGCATCCTTAGCCCAAAGCAGGTACCAAGAGCTCTGGCTCTGGGTGTGACCTCAGTCTGGAGAAAGCCCCTGCCCCCACCAGGACCACCTGCTCCCCAGACTGCCCAAGCCAGGGTCAGGAAACTAGACTGACACCTTCAGTGAACCCAACAAAGTCCCTGGTTCCCCCGGCTATGGGGCCAAAGAGAGATCCCAGCCCAAGCCCCCGATGCTGGCTCTGCAGCTAGCACTGGGGCCCCACTGCCTGTGGGTAGATATGCTCTGCTAACCGTCCAGATGAGGAAACAGGCTCAGAGAAGTAAGGAGCCTTGCCCAATGCCCCAGACCGGGGCTCCAGGCCCGGAGTGTTCCCTTGTCCCTGAGCTCACAGCGGGCAGCAGCTGCTGTGACCCACACTAGCCTGGTGACTCTCTCTGGCTCTGGAAGATGGCCCGTGTCCACAGAAGCACCGGGTGGTCAAGCGCGCCCAGACGGACGGCGGGGGAGTTGCGCCTCCTCACCTGGCTTGTGAGGGCCTTGGTGGAGGTGAGGATCTGCCTGGGAGAGCCCCTGGGACGTCACACAAAGCTGGCAGCAGATTGTCCGCAGTGCCTCTAATGGGACCTGGCTCGGGCAGAGCTCAGTTCGGCAGGTCCCGGAGGCACAGAGAGGTCACAGCTACAAAGTGCAAGAGCTAGGATTCAAACCCGGCAGCGTGGCTCCAAAGTCTACACCTTAAGCCCTGTATGACACCGCCTCTCTGAGTTGCCCTGGCAGGCCCGCCAGATGCCCAGGCCAGCGCCTCCCCAGCACCACAGCGGTCCGGGACCAGGGAAGCTCCGGGAGCCTCAGCACGCTCTCAGGTACCCCAGCCTGGTCCTCACACCCTTGCTCCTCACCACCCTTCCTCCTGCTTCAGCCTCACCCCCTGCGCAGAGCCTGAGCCTCTGAACTTGGCACCGCACAGAGGCCTCAATAAATTAGAGTCTGATCTTCTTAAACCAGAAGCAATTTCACCCCTGCTCAGCCTCTCCCTCTGGCCTCATGCCATCTTGGAGCGAGCCAGTGGCTCGCAAATAAATCCTGCGTCAGGGCTGAGGAACTGATGTTCATTAATAGGAAATCGTAGGGTGGTAAATTGGTATTTATTTCCCCAGATACACACCTCGGAGTTGATAGATGATGCTGTTCCTGCCAGCCTCAGGCAGGGGGAGGGGCTGGCTAACTGACCTGCCCTCCCTAGGGCTGAGGTGCAGCCCTGCCACAGTCACTGCCCAGGGTGGGGGTGGGGGGTCACCTTTGCACACTCAAGTACCTCCCACCCCCTCAACCAACTCCGTAACTGCCTCTTCTCCCGCTGCTTCCCTTAAAGATCATGGAACTGAAATCACACACACCTGAGTTAAAACCCCAGCTCTGTTTCGGGTCGGCTCTGTGATCTTGGGCGAGTTACTCAATCGCTCTGAGCCCCAGTTTCTCCATCTTCACGCCCAAAAGCAGAGATGACATGAGTTCCAGGGCCAAGCACAGGCCTGAAATGGGGCACGTACTCAGCACACCATTACTCCCTGGACACCCCCACCATGTCCCACAGGCCCCTCAGTCTCAGCATGTCCCCCCAACCTATTTCCCTTGGTCATCCCCACTGCCACCTCCACTGCCCAAGAGAGAAGTCCACGGTGTCATTTGGGACACCTCTCTCCTTACCCTCCAACAATCACCGAGTCCTG